GAAAAATATCCAGTGACAGTTTTATTAAATTATTTGATTATTTTCCCCCTCTACCACAACCGTTAAAAAGAGGTATGACTCTCATATTTTCCGGATCACCGTTGTAATCGCGATGATTAATCAAAGTGTCAAATGTTCAATTAGTAGAAATATCACTGCGGCAGCAAATAGTGAATTATGAATGAGACGATGTGCTCGGGGGATGGGGGATGAATTATAGTTGAAAATGAATTTCCGGATCGACGCGTGCGAATCGAGGAGAGGAGCAACCGACATCATCGTATTTTGTGTGGCGGTTGAACGTGCCATTTCTCAATGACATCGTTGGAAAATTCTCGTCTTATTCCCAAGAAAACGTCCTCAAGAATTTCCGTCAAAATTCTCGCTAATAGAATTAATAGAATTCAACAACCAGAATAAACGAATTGATAAAAAATCGTTATCGAACCGCGCGCGCAAAAAAAAAAACCGCTGCGATCGCCAGAATATTTTTTTCTACGTAAGCCCGAATATTGTTCGTAACCTAAGGATTTCACACATTTTTTTATCCCCCGACAATCGCTATTAGCCACGGCATGCGACGAAACTCTAGGTACGGAGATTATGCCCTTATCGACACACACTCGACTCGGTTCTTTGCCTTTTTCTCCTAGATTTTCGAGGGAATTATCGTCGAAACACTGATATTAAGTCTCGTAAAGCTCAACTTGCCACTGGTAGAAAGAACATGCGCTCAATGTTTCTCCATTCCTGACCCCCCCAACCCCCCCGAAAAAACCCTCCCTCAACAAAGGCCGTGAAAGTCAATTTTTTTTTTTCATATCATTGCAGGCGTGCACGAACTACAGCAATTTTTTATTTCTTCTTACTTATTTCTGTAATTTTGTTTTCTCTCTTTTTTCCGGGGGACCTGACCGTCTCCCCGAGATCTCGTAAACAACGTGTTTCGTGATGGGTTTGTTAGTGGTAGTATATTTTTCTAGGAAATGTAATTTCTCCGAGCATTTCCCTTCCGTCGTTCATAAAACATTGCCCGAGCTCAAAGATCAGAAAATAAAGTGTACAAGTGGGATAGTTACTCTTTCATAATAGTACACAAACTGTTCGTACCGGTTGTGACATTTTCTCTCATGGGAAAACTTCGTTTTCGCAATCCATTATTTTTCATAATATTTATCTCAATATCTTTCTATTCATCTATCCCCCAGAAATCCGTACTTCCCCCAAATTATCGGAGCAACATTATATTGCAGGGAGATAATTATATAAATTATATAATATTTTTAAATAATTCAACTGCGATGGCTTCTTCAGCCCTTGAATATTTCGAAATGAAAAAATTTCCCTGAATTCACAATTGACTTGTTTGCACCGCCACGTGGGTCACCGCGTCTCCCTCAATTCAGAATTCATAATTACGCGGTCGATTTGGCGTAATGTTACGTTGGCCGCAATATGGAAATCTCGCAACTGCGTGGGGATAATACCCTGTCATACTCGTGGGGGCCGAGTGGTGCATAATATCATATTGCAATATATTGAGATCGTGAAGGCTGCCACGGGCCATTCAACCCTCCCCGTTTTTATGCACCCGTATTTTCATTTCACGACTGTTATTGTTTTTTTTTTCCCTTAACCCCCCCCCCCCCCGCCCCCCCCCCCCCACCCTCCAACCCCAAATTTTTTTTCGCGAAAACGATTACACGGGAAACGTCACCGACAATTATTATCACAAACGATTGTACTGCCACTGAGACAACACGAAAAACGTGCAGAAATATTTTTGCACTGGGTTTATTACCGAGAATTTCTAGGGCTCTCGACTATTTCATTATTGACATTAAAGGCATTCCAGAATTTATTAGCACTCAACAGACATTTAAATACCATTGCTTTCCGGAGATTGAATGGGTATTTGGGTCGAGGATTTACCTTTGAAATGGAAATTTTGTGAAGTTCCCTGAACGAGGATAAACCCGTGGAAATATTTTTTTAGAGTCACTCCATTTTTTTATGAAAGGTAGAAAATAGTGATCCTCGTAGAATCACTAACACGAATAATCTACAAGTGAAGAACAATTTAAACGACGCAACTGGAAAACGACTCATTTCAATGAAATATAAATTTTTATCAAGTCCAAATAAAATATTCATACGAAAAATGGTGAACTATTTAAATAAACTCATTTATCCAATGAAAATTAATGATTTTTCCGAGTGCACTACTGAAATGGTGAAACCCTCAACCCCATCAGATTCTCAAGAGCTAAAGAATTATCCCCGAAAAATCGACCACTGAAAATCCCTCATGTATATTATCATTTTCAATCTACCTTCCGCACACTCTAAACCACTAGACCTCCCAGGGGTGCGATATTCCAAGTCGAAGGGCCAGCGTGAGTGTGATAAGATACACAAAAGACCAACCCCGCTATTTTTCCCCCTTTTTTTTAATTCAACCGAGGGACAGAGAACACCAGGGAATTTACATAATGCCAGACGCCCTCGTTATGCACCTATTTAACTTAAACGCGGGCCTTTTATCGGTTCCCCCCTCATTCCCCTTGACATTTACCGGTTTGAGGATGATATTCACTCACGAGGGCATTCCGACGGTTGTATTAACCCACCATCTGCATCGAAGCACACCCCTTAATACCATCCTCCCCTCCAAAACAGCCACTCGTATATTTTACGTCCTCACAACCCCCGAATTTTCCGACAAATCAAAAGCTAACGAGAAACTAAAGAAAATTGTACATGGAAAAATTCTCGTTTTTCCTCCGACTATTGATGAGAGAGAGAGAGAGAGTGAGAAAAATTTTTCGATTGACCAAAATGAAGTATTGAGGATGAAGTCGAAAGAGATTTCCTGACTGGAAAATTTTTTGATGGTGTACCATTAATTCGCGAAACAAATCCCAACGAATTTTCCCTGTTTCGTCAATAATGATTGCCTGGAGGACTCCCTTGGGGTCTGGGACATCTCAAAAAACCGCTGACCAATGTGCCACTTCGACTGGTACCTACGTGACACATTTATCCCTCGGCAATCGTCACACCCACCACCACTTGAAAATACAAGCGGTGGATTTAAATGGGGTGAAGAGAGTGAGAGGATGAAGGGCTGAGAGAGGAAGAAAGAGAGATGGTAATACTTTTGGAGTAGAGAGCTTTGACTGGCGGTGAGAGAGTCCTCTGGGTGCAATTAATCTGGGGTAGTAACTCGAGGGGGTGGCTGATTGGAGGAAGTGTTTGATTTTGATTTTGAGAAAGTTATTTCATTGGGCTTATCCTGATTTCGTTTGTTTAATCGATCACTTGTGATGGGGATTCAAGCGTTACAAGATATTTGACAGGTGCCGTTATATATCGATGAGATTATTTCGCGATTGGATGAAATATCAACGACCGCTGCGAGACCACCAGAAAACCGTCGCAACCCCCAACAAATTTTCTATTTATTTTTCTTGCGGATAAATGTTAGGGGAGAATGATTAAATGAGTTAGGATTTTAATTCATCATCGAAAATCAGTGACAAAAATAAAATTCAAGTGGTTATGGTAAAAAAAAATAAAATTCGATTGCATCCTATCCCATGCACTTATCCGCACGAACAGACACACTTGTATTCAGGTATGGGTATACCACCAGACAAGCTTGCATTAGTGTCGCATGCAATGTTGTAATGGCGCATATACCCGTTGCTTCACAATGGGCGTTCACGTGTCAAATTTACCGCACAAGCCAGAAATATGGAAATTGCCATTTCAATGGTTCCAGGTATTTTGCCAAATTTATTCCCCCTCCCTCCGCGCCCACTACTAGATCAATTTTTACCAGAATTTTCACTGAAACCAAAACCCATCCATCCGATAAATTCCAAAAATTAACATTGAAAAGTCGTAACAATTTTCAATTTACACCGGCAAAAGCCCAACTAAACCAAAAATACCGAGTCATGATAAAAAAAAAAGGGGGAGATATTGAAATCAAATGAAAGCGACTGTAAACCTCAAGAGATTAATCCATTGGCAACAGTTGAACGGATAAACCAATTAAAAATATATCCAGCGAAATAAATTTAAAATCTCGATTTAATTGGCCGTTCTGGAAAATCGTAAATAATATTTACAACGTGAAAGAATGGAGAGTTAAAAAGCAGGCAGCACGTATCAGCAAAAATTTAATTGACGAAATAGATCGTTATCCCGAGGCTAGAGCGTGTGAGATATACGAAAATACGGGAATATGTTCGTCGTTGCTAGACTGTACAGGCTGTGAACAACCCTGTCATACGTTTATATGAGCCCGAACAGTAATGTTCAACCATTTCATATCGAGTAAAAAAAAACGTACATGGAGTTTAAAAAAAATGAAAAACATTGGGTCCGTAAAAAATGTTGATCGGACGCGTGATGGCAAAATATTGTACATCTAAGTTCTTTTCCGGTGGATATTACGAGTCTCGCTAAGTGTATATCAGTGTAATAGTATAGTTCAATAAAACTTTTAATTGCATGACACGCTTTCCAGGGAAGTTTACGATTATGTTCCTGCGGATGCGATAGCTCGTTCCGCGAAAAGGGAGGGCTTTCAGAATAGAAAAAAAAAAAACAAGCGCGGATTTGGACGATACGATGGGCGAAAAAATATTGCGTCAGGCTGCACTGAATTTGTGATCAATTGAAAATTCAAGGATTTTTTAAACCGATTTTTCGGGGGATTTTTCGTAAATAATTCAATTGAAATTTTCGTGAATAATTCAATTGAAATTTTATTTTGATTCATTTTTTCAATTATTTTTCATTTGGATTTTTTATTTGAAATTGAAAAAAACCTTGAACTTTCTTGTGCAACAATTATATTGAACCGGAAATTGATCGAAAATATTTCTTAGTTATCCCTCGCTTCGTTTTTAATTGGACTATAATTATCTGAATATTCAGAACTAATAATTACTAGGTAAATATTTATTAATATATTTGTATAGACTTACGGATGTTTTGGCAGTCGGTCAGACACTCACCTGCAACAAAGAGCAATAAATAATATATTAAAATAAGTCCTATAATTTATTCACTCAATTAATAGCACCTCAGAATTTATGAAATTATTTCAAACACCGCATTTTAATTCTCCCGAGACATAAAAATAGTGTATCACTCCAAAAATATTCCATGATGTGTTAATTACCGGTTGCCCGGGCCACCGAAATACAGTAAACCGGAAAAATATCTGGATTTTAATTAGTCCCGAGCGTTGTTTAGTAAACGGAGAAGAAAAATAAAGTTATGTGTTTCAAGAGGGAAAATTCAAGTTGAATCACATGAAACGGAGTAATTGCCAAAAACATTTCCATCACTCTCGGCAAAGGAAAAATAATAACAATCATGAGCAGGTGAACATTTCAGAAACCGTGGAACAACATTTTCTGCTGGGTGTATCTTCCATAGTGTATGCAATGTGAAAAGCTAATTACAAATATTAACAACTTTGGAAAACACGAGTTGTGCTGTTGGTAGATGGTGAAGAGTATTGTCAGAAGTCCCAGGTCATCAGAGGTATTTTGCATACATGGAGCTGTCTTCTCTCGTTGTTTTCACCGATACATATAACTCTGTTCCACCAAAACTACAGTAACAACATACGAAATACCTCCCACCCTAGAAAATCGTCCCTCAAATAAAAATCTCAAAACGTCAATTAACGCATCAATTTTCCCAATTTATTCAGCAAGAAGAAAAAATCCCTAATCACTTCATCTAAGTCCTCTGTAATAAACAATTTTTCATTTGCCATTTCCACCCCCTTTATTCCCATTAAATAATTATTCCAACGATCTATGAACACCCACTTGAATAATAAAGAAAGGGAACTAAATTTTAATGATATCGAGGAAGATAAATATTTAAATAAAAACAAGTTGAGGAAACTGTTATTTACTGCTACTTTCTCTATCTATAACCGACTCCCCTCGATTTGTATAATATCGACCAGAGAATTAAGTCAACTATATACAGACTTCTGAGAAAGCTATTCAAACTGCCCCGGATATTGTCTGGAATTCGTGGTACATCGAACAAAAATTACTGTCATACTTTTATTGACCCAACATACTCCACAATAACGTCTATAACCAACAAAGTTGCTGGCCATGACAATGAAAACTGTATTTCCGTCATAATTGATCTGATTGCAGTAATCAAATCAGAACAGAAAGAAAAAGTTTCTTCAACAGAGAACTCCCCATCAGAAAAAAGAACTACACACAGCAAATACATTCATTCCAAACAAAGAAAATGTATTCATCCGACCCTAAATAATTCTATCATTCGGTTAAATTTTTTTAGTCATTCCAAATAAACAAAAAATGTTTAATTCAACGTGAGGATTTTGTTTGATTCGATGGGTTTCCATCGCCTAATTAAGGATCTAGTCACCTTTTTATCCGAAAACGAGGACATGGCGGTGTGTCGGCCCCAAAAACACCTCATGTTAGCACATTTATAAACAATGAACACACAGAAAAAGATAGATTTTATCAAATATTCCTGAACACTTCACTAAAACCTTCACTAAAACCTTCACTAAAACCTTCACTAAAACCTTCACTAAAACCAACTGTACCATCGCTAACTGAACACAACGATTTGATTCATCCGACACAATTCAGAATACTGAATTCAATATTCCTCGCTCGTCACGCCAACAGCGACGGCAAGGGGAACGGGAATTCCAGGAATTTTAGGGACAACAGTGTTTACCTCAGGCCTATTGTTCGATGTATTTACATCCTTGTTATTTCTCGCTCTCTCCTTTCATCTTGTTAATGGGAACTGAGCGGACAAGAATGGATTTTTCATCAAAGAAATTTATATTTGAATGATTATTGTTTTTGGTGGACCTAAACCCCGGGTAAAAAAAAATTGTAATCGGAAAATTTTTTCGAATTTCCACAAAATTTATGGAAAACTTTTTAGAATTTTTTTTTGAACAAAAAAAAAATCGGAAAACAAAATAATTTTGTTTTTGGGAAAAGTTTGAAAAATTTTGAAAAATTTGAATGGGAAAATTTTTTTTATAATTTCGATAGCGTATTTTTGAACATATTGAAAAATCAAAAAAGTAAGAAAACAACAGTATAATTAACAGAAAATTGATGAACAATTTTCCAAAACATTTCCCAAAAATAAAATTGTTTTGTTTCCCGATTTTTTTTTTTTCGAGAAAAAAAAATTTTGAAACCCAGCTGTGCAATATCAGTCATTTGGATGCGAACACCACAAAAGTTTCAATTACTCGATGTCCAACGTCTTTTTAATGAGATTGGTTAATTAATACACTCTAAATGGGAACAATAATTCAAAACCAATGTGATTTGATTAATTCCACTGAAATCGATTAATTTCATTAAGGACTAGCGCCATTGAGCGACTGATTTATCATCTCCACTTGGATTCATTGATACCTATTCACGTTCTAGCTTAACAGGGGGTGGATTAAACTTGCTAGATTCCACCGACAAGATCCAAGAGAAAACAACCAGGGACATACAGATAAATGTGCAATGTACATGCTGTACACTTACTGGTTGAGTGTGAAACTTGGATTTGGAATTAAGCTACCGCAGAGAGTTCCTGTATTCCAACGTTTGTTGGAAAAGTTATCAAGGATTCAGAGAATATTTCAACCACTACAGACATCCTCGTAAAATTCAATAGATTATTCCATCGATTGTTCACAGGAATAATGGAAATATTGCCAGCAGAAACGTACACTGAATTCGCATTATAAAACCGATATTTCGGATATTCACAATTTTTATGAGGTGATGTCAAGTGATTGAACTGACCCAATGAATTTTTTAAGTGAATCAGATTTAATTTTCCACAAGGCGACAGAATTCCAGGTCACAATTACGCCATTTTAGGATGAGTCAATCATACGAAGGAATAAAATTGAGATCGTGATCTTCTTGATGCTTCATGGACATATTTGCGATTATAAGACGCGATGGATTCAATTGGGTAATCGAAAAAGGATATTTTGGCCGGAAGGTAAAAAAAAGAATTAATTTTCCCAGGGAAAATCGGATAATTGTATAAACCCCCAAATGTCGTGAAATGAAAATGTCCAGTTTGATATTAAATAAAAAAAGACCATTTTTGGTAATAATTCCCCAAAATTATTACAATTTCAGGTCTGAAAAAATTATTTTCAGTGTATATCGCAATGTTTTATCCGAGTACTTGAGATTTTACTGAGGAAAATGATTCTAGTGCACGAAGAATCAATTAACAACAGAATTCATCAATTCCTCGGATGACAATTCTGTGGTTCAGGAAAATGGAAAATGAACCCTGCGGTCTTCCCTGAATATTCCCCCTACAATTCCCTATTCCTCCCCTTAATTGCCACACCCCTCAGCCCCCATTTTATCCAATGCACATAGCAATGATAATTATTCCCCAAGATTCAATCACATTCACCCACTGGAACGATTGAGTCTGTTATTCCGAGTGTTCACGAGGTCGAGTGACAAAAAAAGGATGAAAAAAAATTGTTCCACCCACTTCTTTTTGTTACACCGTCCCCCCAGAATTCGAATAATATGTGGCCGCCATAAATTAGAGTTCATTGATTCGCAGACAAACGATTGAACAATGGGCCCCATAAAATAGTTTATTCGACAGCATCAATAAAATTCAAAAAAAGAGTACCTCGCGTGGACGAGAAAATTATGCGCGTCCTTTATCCAAGACTAATGGAGGTTCGATAATTGAATCCCTCTGGGAATACCAGAGTGACGGAAAAAATAAAATTTTGTTGAATATACTTTAGCGACTCGTAAAACGCTCTTTATTTGCAAGAATAAAGTGCTCGTATCTCGTAAAAAATACAAACACTCCACTGCTGTTGACATTGTGATACTCGCCGTACCCGAGTTATTACGCTCGCATGTTGTTTATGAACGAAAAAAAAAAAATGGTTGCAAAAAAAAAATGTGGTGTCCCGGTAGTTCATAATTACACTGTGGCGTTCGGTTTATCGTAAGCTCGTGTAGATGCTACCCGATGATCGTCTCATTGTCTCGTCATGTGACGGTGCAACTGTTCATGTTGCAATTAAATCGTCGATGAACGGAAACAGTTGTACAGAGGATAAACAAGAGTTCAGAGATAACCCCGAGGAGCATCGGACAATTAAGGGAATGAGTGGACAACGCGAAAACAAAGTTGTCTAATAATTAATTAATAATGATAATAATTAATTTATCTTCCAACGCGAAATTTATCCAGTCAAAATTACCAGTCAAACAGATAAACTGGTAATTTATTTTTTATCAATGAAAAATAACTCCAAAGGACAATAACTGCTAAATAATTGATAAAAAATTATAAAATGAATACATGGTCTCTATTTTTATATCAAAACCATTTTTTCCGCGCTTTGAATATTGTAAAAAAAAAATGTCCTCCCGGTGTACAATTTCACGGTAGAATTCATGAGACATTTGATGAGAGAGTGTTAAAAATGCGGGAGCAATCCGCTCTTGTCGTTTATCCACCGAATAATCGCGGAATGAAGATTATACAGTTGACTATTTCGATTCAAGTGAAATTTCAAAGGCGAGAAAGTCCGAGGGATTTTTACACAGAGCCTCGAGGGGTTGCTCCCTTCCGCCTAGATTCACCCCGTGAACATTCTGGTTCAGCTGAGTATCTTCCCACATTAATGATAGTTCAGCCGTTTTCTGTTCTAAAATGAGAGAGGATTGACGGGTTTATTATAACCCGGAGAATGATAATTCACTGGGGTGAATTCACCCGTTAATCGCACCGAGTGATGTCTTTTGTGATGATTAATCCACCCATTCATTAACAGAGAAAAATTAATTAAACAAATTCGTCTAATAAATTTCACTCTTGATGATTTTCATCTAAACTTCAATTTTCCTCAAGACTAATTCGACTGAAAAATAATGGGAAAAATCGATCGAGTGCTCTTTTATTTCCATTTCAATCG